ATTGCCCAAATACCAGAGAACTCTCCCAATTTTCCTGCATCTCATTTTGGACAGTGCTCTTATTCCAGGTAAGAGTTTTGATGCAGAGATATGCTTCTCAAGGACACTGCCACCCACTCCAGTGCTACCATGGCAGACCAGACCAGACCAGACCAGACCAGACCAAGGCGTTGTGCTACTTAAGGTAGAGCTGCAATAGGCACCTCATGCCCAAGTCAAGATGCACAATATTCCAGGCTGTTCTAAGTGTTTCAGTAGGCACAATACTGGAAATCCTACAAGTGCTTCTCTTGGCAGGAAAAATAAACCATCTGGCACTTACACTGTCATTTTTTGGAGCCAGGTAAAGCTTCCTTCTGATCCCAGACATTTGATGGCATATGGTGGGGGTTTTAACAGGAGTTTTTTTTTAATTGAGTCCTGGCATCTTATCGATAGTTGTTTTTAGTGGCATTTCTTAATTTTTTATATGTCAACAGTTTTTAATGTTTTCATTATGCTGCACTTTGGGTTTTAAATTTTCTGACCCAACAAGAGAGCTTTGGATATTGGACAGTATAAAAATAAAATAAACAAAATAATGAAATAATAAATTAAATAACACTTTGTTTGCGCTAAATTGCTTAAAGTGGTCACCTCATACTACCTCATGGTACTGCTGGCCCTAACTGGCAGATGTAACCACACTTATATAGAGTTTGTCTCTTCCCCACCACAGTTAGACCTAGGGACCTTGGCCAGAAGGGGATCTCAAAATTCTCTGGCACAGATACTGACTGAGTTTCCCTGACTGCTGGGAAAAAGAAACGACTGCAGCTTCTTTTCCTTGTCCATCTGAATGCCAGGTATGCACCATGTGGTTTGCCTAGTTACCCTCATGGCATATGTGTTGCTGTGCCCTCCAAACCCAGCCAGGGGGCTGGGGTGGATGGCTTTCCAACCCCCGCCCCCCCGCCCCCGCAAAACCCTACAACAAGCCCTGGGTTGTGGGATGCTCAGGAAGCCAGCCCCGCTGAGCCCCTTGCTGAGTGTGGACACGGTGATCTACATATTGCAAAGGTAATTAAGTAAATGGTGCAGCATGCGGTTGGATTGCATGGCGGGGGCCACTATGAAGTCTTTTCATTGGTAATTGTGCAAACCTGACCATTCTGAAATATCAAGCAAAAGGACTGGGCTACTAATAAGAATACAGTATATTAAGGTTGCATTGGATTTAACTTTGTGAAAATAAAAAATGACAATTGAGCATTGTATTCAATCCATAGGCTACAGCCTTTCCTAACCCGGTGCCATTCATGCTGACTGGGAATGATGGGTATTGTGGTCCAACATCTCTGGAGGTCCCAGGTTGGGGAAGCCTGCAGAAATTGCACACAGGCAACAGTTTAATAAGTGATAACAGACTGCTGTGCAGGTAACCATTTTGTATGTGTGAAATCCTGTCAGATTGTAAGAATGACACTTCATACCCCATTACAATATAGGGAAGCGGGGAGTGGTAACAATTCTGCTTAATACTTAGCAGTACTTTATCAAATGATTACATGCACACTGTGGTAAATTATCACTTCAGTAAACAGATGGGTGCCTTCATCCTATACTAAATTTATTGGTAAAGTCTGACATTTCTTTCCCCTAAGGCTTGGGAAATCATTGATAAAGAGGAAAGAAAAGTGGACAGGACACTATTAATGTCTCCAATAGCACAAAAGGATTGAGAGAGACTAGAGATAAAAGCTGCAAATTACAGGATTTCTTCCCTCCCACTCCCAAGCAAAGGAAGTAGGAAAATCACAGTACTGTTCTATAAATAGGTGGGGTTAATATGCATGTTTGTGTCCTTGTTCTGACTTGATAGAAGCCACGTACGGTGTGGTGAGGCAAACACAATTCTGTTTCAGTATCCAGGGCAGGCATGGTTAATGAGGTAATGGAATGCTTCAAAAGGCAAAGCTGCTGGTGCTTGAACACCTCATGTGGCTGATAAAAGCTCCTTCTGGGACACAGACTTTTGGGACTGAGTTTAAATTTGACACTGAATGGTATGCAAACACTATTTGGCTTTTTAGAGGATGCCATGAAAAAATAAAGGATGAAGTAGAGAAAAGAATGATAGCAAGCAGACAGAAATGCGCAGGGCTTTGTTTTCAACAGAGATGAAAGAAAAGCCATGAGAACTGGCCCACCCTGATCCATGCTGTGGAATCTGAATCATATTCCAAAGGGGTTCAAACAAACACAGAAATGGGACAGAGCTTCTGTCCCTTGCAAGAGAACGATTTTCAAATTGTGCTTTTCAGCGATGAGTAATGGCCAACAAGCTTCTCCAAATGGCAACTTTCTCACCACCTCTAATGGTGCTGGGTGTGCTCCAGGATATGCAAGTTCATTTCACATGGCCAATGTCTTGCAAGAACACTCTTCAGCAACATTTCGGAGTTTTCTGGCAGACTTGCAGAAGTTCCCCTGGGGACATGTTGGTGCAGCAAGACTTCCCTGAAGCTAGAAAGTTCGAAAGCCAATTGTACTTTAAGTAATTCAAAATCTGCCAACTTGCACTGCCAACTTCTTTTGTTACAGCACTGTGATGGAGAAAAGTGATAGCTGTGGGAATTTTGCCTTATTTAGAGCTGTGCAGTTGCAGAATTGCTGATAATTAGCCATAGGTTTGGAACAAGGCATGCTGGGAGATGTACTTTGTCCAGATGGGATAAGCCCAGAAGGTAGAACACAGCCTGGTCCTAGGTAAGAATTATGTGGCATCTATTATGTAAGTTTTATTTTTCCAGTGAGCACATTAGACGTCAATGCGTCTGTTATCTGACACAACAAGCTGTTCCAAGAAATTAAAGCCTTTATCTCTTTTGGAATATGGGCACACTTTTAGAAAGAAACCTTTGACAATTTTTGGCTGGTAGATCTAAGCTGGTGACACAAGGCCTCTTAACACAGGGCGGTGACTGAGACATAATGTTCTGTTCAACATATCAGCCTATTTCCTGTGCTCAGATAATAGAAAGGTAAATGCAAATTCAACATTTTTTAATACATGTTTTTGAGACCAAGGACCTCAGAAATTGGTGACTGTGTGGCTAAAGCCTGGAGGAGTTGACAATTATGGTCTGCTCATATGGTCTGGATGCACAGCTCTAAGATATGCCTGACCAATGAAATAGCTCCTTAGATCATGGTTAGCCAACCTGCTTCCCTCCAGATGTTTATGTTTCCCATAAACCTCAACCATTGGCCCTGCTGCCTGGAGCTGATGGGAATTGTACTTTACTGCTCTCTTGGACACTAAGGCTTCAAACTGTGCACTTTGCTATGGAAAACTTGGCAAACCCACAACGATGTGAGAGAAAACCGATGTTATGCATCAATTACAGGAGAGAGTATTGTTTGTCCCTTCAGTTGGGTTTTCTCTGTAAGGAACTGATAGGAAAACAGTGGCTTTTCAAACAACCGACATGAGGACAAGTCCAGCTGAGTGTGGGTGTTGGGGAACTCGGCATGATATCACGGCGAGGAGGCAGTGGGTGTAAAAAAAGCAAATTCTATGCTTGCTGTATTTATATTTCTAGATTTATTTAAATTATGCAATGCACAGGTGAGAGAGAAACCCTTGCTGTCTATAAGGGGAGAGTAAGAGGCATAAACCATTCAAATGGGGGAGTGGATCATGGAGAACCTCTGGGAACAGAGCTAATATACCAAACCAGGCTCTACTGTCTTCAGCACAGGGGACAGCCTTTGCCCTCAGTACCAGCAAGAAATGGCCCAAATACAAAACCAACAATTCTAAACAGGAATCCGCACGAACAAGAGCGACTTCCAGAAGGAAACATCGCAAAACAGAGTGAAATGTACTGTAAAGTGGAAGATAAAATGCTGCATTAGGTAGACGGTGGTGATGAATCTCATGTCTACCCTGAACAGCTAGATATGCATCTGCCATGTGCAGGTGAGATAATAAAGGGCATTTCCTAGATTGCCTCATTTTGGTTCATGCAGCCAATGGAGAAAATAACCGCAACAAGGCAAAATAAATGGCTTATACATATTTCACGTGTACATTAACAGGAAAGTGGAGGAGGAAACTCTTCGGAGGTCTGAGGTCTGATTAACAGGTGTTGCTTCCTCTCTCACACCGTTTTCTCTTCGCCAGAAGACTTTTCCACCCCATCCCGGTTCATGAAGATACACTGAATGGTTAGTGAGATGAGTGTTGTGTTCTCATAGAATTCTTCACTCGATGTACCCAACGTGTCTGACATGCTGTCCTTCGTGGAAGGGGCCTGACGAGTAAGGCTGCAGCATTTCCCAGAATCCTCAAGCACCGCCAGCCATCCTCACTAGACGGACCATCCTTGCTACTGCAGGCAGCTGTCAGGTAATGTTCCAACTATGACTATCCTGTTGTCCACCCATTACAAAAGAAAAACAGAATACATTTTTCTTGTGTTCACATTGCAGCTGTCATTGTTCCTGAGTTTAAATCAGAGAGAGAAAGAGTCCCTGTATAAGAAAGCCAGACTTTCCAAATTGACCATTGTATTGTTCTTGTCCTCTTAGAGTCCTGAATACATTTCTTCTGCTCTGTCCCCTTTATTATTGAAGACTTTCATGGGAAGTTGGTGGTTATGCTTAAAATGATCCCCCTGCACAGCAGGGATAGGTTGTTCATAGTCACTTTGGTTCCTTGCCTGACATACCTTCACTCAGTCTGCTGAATGTGGTTTCTTGCTGATCCTTTACTTTCAAAAGGAAAGGAAAAAAGAATCCTTATGATATACGCTGATGGGATATTATTCTCCCCCTTATAGAATTTCAGTAAGTGCAGCATATATTGTAGCTTTAGACAGGAACTGTCCAGTAACGAATCTTGAATAATGGCTTTCAACTATGTGGTGGGTGTGGTCTCAGCTACAGAGTGTTGCTTTATTTTGAGATGGTTGTAAACAGTGTTCTCTTTTTCAGGGGTCTGGAAGCATCTGCCCTTATGAGGACTTTACTGCGTAGTCAATCACTCTAGAAAACAAGAGGGGAAAAAAATCAAGGTAAAAGGAGACTCCTGTAATCACACTGCACTTACCTATCTACCCTAGACTGCAGGTACTTCAAGAGTCCCATAGAGAGGTTCCCCTTCACTCCAAAACCGTTTCTTACCTACAGCAGTAAGATTTCCCTTGAGATTTTCTGATCTCCGTATAAATAATATGTGAAATGCAATGCAAATCAGCATGAAGAAGAGCTGTGCTAAATCAGACCAAAGGCCTATGTAATCCAGCATTCCGATCCCCTGGTGGCCAGTCAGATGCCTCTCTGGGATGCCCACAAGGAGGACATGACTGCAATTGCGTTCTCCCATCATATTCCCTACCAGTTGGCATTCAGGGATGTGCTGCTCTGATTCTGGAGGTAGCATAGAGCCATCTTGACTAACTGCAACTGATGGTCTGAATTTGTCTTGTCACCTTTGAAAGCCATCTTGTGGTAGGGAATTCACTGTGTGATCTTTGCATCTATGCACTGTGGGAAGCAGCACTTATCTTTTGTGTCTATTCTGAATTTCTCAGCATTCAGCTTCACTGAATGACCCCAGATTCTAAAATAATAAGCAGGTAACATTATTTAATCTGTGGTCCTGAGAAACCACTCAGTGCATGCTCGTATCTAATTAAGGAATTAATGAATACAGACAAACACAAAGCTACCAGTTTCTTAGCATCATATTACAAGCATCAATTGTCTGACTTGATTTGATATATATGAATTTGATCATTTGAATATCTTGGTAAGTAGAGTTGCCTACACAATTGCTCTTATCTTATGAAATTGTCTCTTAAGTTTTTATATATATGTTATCCATTATTTCATCTGTATGCAATTAAGAGTGAGAATATGTGTCATGGTTTCTCCAGGTAGAGGAACATCAGTTCAACCCTTTTCCGCTGGGAACTGGAAGTAACATGCACACAGAGGTACATTTTAAAGCAATTATCTTTATTGGTGCCTCAGTTATGTCACTGCTTGCCCTTTCTTATAAATTCACATCTTCCTGAATGTAAGGACAATGAACCTTCAGGCAGTTGGGTGCTCTTGTTTTCAATTGTTTCTTGTTCATACTTCTCAGTCAGTCCCAGTTTCCATCCCAAGTCACTGTCCTTTTCTAGGGTGCCACTGCTTCCAAGAAGGAAAAACCAGCTGCATGTTTGCATGGACCCTCCAGGTCCCTAGTCAGAAGTTAAGTTATACTTCCAGAAAAATGTTTTCAATAAAGCACTGCTGGCAATTTCTACTGAACCTCCCTTAGTTTGTTCTGCCTCATCTGTCTCTGTATCTCCAGATCTGGCTTCTCTTTTGTCTGGTTTCTTAGGTCTAAGAGACTGGCCTCCTGCCACTCGCAGGGGGGACTTTAGCCTCTGTTCACTTCCCCCTCTTCTTGCCCTTTCTGTGTCTTCAGAATGCCTGTCATTTACCTTCCCCCTGCTTTCTCTTTCTAGTTTTCTCTTCCTTCTCAACTTCCAGTCTTTTCACTTTCTTGCCCCTTTGCTCCTCTTCTTTTATCTTCTCTCCCTGTTCTGAGCATTCTTGGGAGACCAAGATGTCCCTGAGGCAGTTCTAGTCCAAGCTCCCCTACCCTTGGTCGTGTGGAGCTGGCCACAGTCCTCCAGCTCACTGTTGAGCTAAGCGGTGAGCAAATGGCGCGATGCCATCAGCGGCTGACAACAGGAACAGCTGTCCTGCCTCAACTCCCACTGTGGTCGGCATGGTGGGCCCCAGTGACTTGCTGAAGACACACTGAAAGTAAGCAACTTGTCAACTGCTATTCAAAAGAGCTGGCAAGCTTCCAGATCTAAGCAGCTTCCTTGATAATTATTTAGAAAACATCCTTAACATTCATATTTAAGAAATGCATGCCTTTGACTCACTTCCCACCACATAAAGTAGTCTCGGTGTGACTTGCACACACAAATACAGATATCCATAATTAATGCAACAGAAAAAAGCAAAACCAGTATAAATCATAATCAGCATGATGATTCAATAAAATAAACACCACAGAACTCAGGGAACCAAGATTCAGGGTGGATGCCAGGAAGCACTTCCTGGCAGTTAGGACCCCGAGGGTGTGGAATGGGCTTCCATGGGAGATGGTTGAGGCCCCATCGGTGTGGGTGTTCAAGGATAGGCTGGACATGCACTTGGTGGGCATGACATGAGCGGAGCCGGCTGGAGCCGGGGGTCAGACTAGATGGCCCTGGAGGCCCCTTCTGACTCGCTCTGTTTCTATGTTTCTACCTAAAAACAATATAACATGAAAAGCCCTTGTGCTCCGTATACAAATCAAACACCCACCCACCCATCTAGGAGGAACACCACTGAAGGAGCCCACCACAGCTGGGCCACATGCCGGAGCAAATAAGAATGCCGTGTATGTGCCAGGAGAGCATTTCTTGGTGTGGAGCTATCACAGGAAAGGCTTTTCCTGAACTGTCAGCTGGAGCGTCCTCAGAGGAGAATGCAGCAAAGGGCACCTGAAGTGGACCTTAGGGACCTGGTAGGGTTGCATTGGGGAGAAGATCGGGGTCCCAGGCCATGTAGGGTTTTATGGGTTAAAGCCATTATATGCAGAGCAGGGATGCAATTGCACTGGTGTGTCTCCTTCTAGCCACTGAAGCACTACTTTTCTTAGGAGTCTGCTTACAGTGATTTGAATATAAAGCTAAAAATGTATTGTGTAGATACAGTGTAGATATATCAGGGAGCTGAGATTGGCTTCAGCCTCCTCAAAAGTTGGTCTCCTCCTAAAGTTGGAAAAGAAATAGCCTTAGGAAATGACTCAAAAGTTGCTTGATTTATCCTTAGGCTTTCATATCAGACTTTGGTTCAGATACTCACTGAGCTACGCAGCTCTGGAAGTAAACCTAGAAAATGTATGTGTCTAAGCATTTGAAGGAAAAAGAAAGGAATCAGTCTTACCTTTCAAGAGGCACATTGACATCAAGGCCAAAGAATAAAGGCAAGAGAGAAGAACAAGAACAGAAAGAGAAACTGCAGAAGAAAAAAGGTAAACAGTTTTATGAAGTCAGCATCTCTTTTTCTTATTATCAGATATATCTCATTGGCATCTGATTCAGGCTTCAATCCTATAAATATCTACCAGGGTGTAAATCCCATTGAAATCAAGAGGACATATCACTGAATTGACACATATAGGAGTTACACTGTAAAATAATAATTAATCCAGTAAATCTTTTCAGTTAGACATCCTGCAGGAATGGATCTATATCATCTCAACTTACTGGTTAATTTCATTAATATTTATTGACACTAGAAAATTATTAAAGCCCTCATTCTTAGTAGTCTAGTGAATGTCCACAGAAATCAGCATTTTATGCCAACTCTCAGCCATCGGAAATAGGCAGTCAGATGAAGAGCCCGTGTGCACATGTGGGAACTGCTGCAGAGGTGGACGTAAGTGGGAGCTCCCACTCATTTTGATGGAAGAACCCAACCTAAGTACACCAAAAAGGGGCTTCTGCTGAGATTTTTATCTCCTTACTTGACTAGATCGTCTACATCTTTAAATTGTGCACATCAACTGCACTTGCTTAGCTAAGACAGAAAATCTTTTGGGTTGAGTCCTTTCCCTGAAACATTTTTAGTGTGATGCCATGAATGGATTTTGCCAATGCCTTGCTTTGATTTTTACACTGAGATTAAAGGCTAAATGGCTTCTTCAGTTAAAATCCATTTGTTGCTAGGAAGGGCACTATCCACTGTTTCTTTTTTTCTGAGTCATTTCCAGAATAAAAGGAACCTGGGCAGGCGCCTTTACTTTGTAAGTTTTTAAATAGTCTAAACTTTAATAGAGCCTAAAGCTCAGCTGAGTGTTATTAAAAACTACAGTTTGAGCTGGAGAGTGAGAAGTTGTCTAAGACTAACCCTCTACCCCACTTAACTTTCACTGTTAGATTGAGGTTTTTTTTTGCAGGGGGGGATTGCTTTTTGTTTTTGCTTTTTATGCTAAGTAGCAGTGCTTGCAGTTGCTGCTGCATAGTACCATTCTCTTTCAAAGTTATTTCCTATCAGAAAGATGTCAGAGTGAGGTAAGGACACATTTTTCAATCCTGCCCTCACTCTGATGGTGTCATCCTAAAGCCAAGTCAGAATGAGGGTAGAATCAGGAAGCTTTCTACCCTCATTCTGGTGTCTTCTGTCTGGGAATAAACCTTGCGGTGAAATGCCACCCAGCATTAATGGGGAGAGAATCAGCACTGTTTCTGTCAGTGTGGCAAATGCTTTAATTCTGATTGTGATCCCAAATACATCTGTGAAATGCTCCCCAACTCTGCAGCCTGAAAATGAGAGTGTTGAAATGGAGGAAAATGCATTTTGGCTCGGATATAATAGGAACAGCAGAAGTTGACAGAAAAGCTGTGAAAAAGTTTTTAGAATCTGTGGAGTAAAAAATGGAAAATGATGTAACTCACATTTGTTATTGTAATAAAGCTGACCGGAGCTCATGAAAAGTTAGAATAACCAGTCATCAAAAGTGTTAATACATTTTCAATGCATAAGGCAACTAACCTTTTCTTCTAAATCCTTGATCTGTCTCTTCTGGATGTCAGTTTTATCTTCTAAATCTCGGATCCTCTAGAAATGAAACAAGTGCATAAATTAGTCAGGCTTTTCAGACTAAGAACTCATACACATGAAAATTCTTGTGGAATATATGCACTGCTAATTTTGCAGTGTTCACTCAGAACCAAGTCCCACTGGCTTCAATGGTCCTTTCTTCCAGGTCAGTGGAGAAAGGACTGCTGGTTTAAAGGGTTAAGACAAATTTGGGTTTCCTTGAATTCTGCAAGTTAAGCCTAATGCCCACTCAGTAATATCAGTTGGGTTTCAAATTGCCTAAAGCAATGTGCCCTTGAAACAGATATAGTGAATAACAATCCCCGTTCTTGCAAATAATACTAAAGAGTAAGTGCTTTCAGTATCTTGCACTACCAATTGAAGGGCATTGTACACTCTTCTGTCTTTTCCCCATCCACTGATATTTTCTGGTAAGGAAAAGGTCAGACAAACCTGTAGGAGATGAATGGGAGGGTTAGAAATGGAAGACAACACAGCATCTGGACCCCTGTAAAATCAGTGGAGTTCACAATACAGTACCAAGCATTTCTTCTGCAAGTGGAATCTCACCTGATGTGCCTGCTGAAGCAATTCCATTCTCTCCTGCAGGATCTGACAATCATATTCTCGACTTTTTCTCAGCATCTGTCTTCTTAATTTTTCTACAGCAGTCCTAAGTTCTTCCTGCTGTTTCTCACTAAGCAATTCTCCAAACTTTATTACTGTTTCCTGCTGCAAAGCATTGTATAAGGTGGCTTCAAGCTCCTGGATTCTCTAAAGAATGGAAGAGAAAAACAGGTTAGAGGATATAACCTCACACAAAATGGTGTTTTTCATTCATGCATGTGTTGAAAAATTATATAGAATGGCACAGCTGGCTGCAATAGATAGATCAAAATTGAAATGGAACATCTGTAATGGTTTTATGTATCTGTTATGTAACATTCACAGTGCAATTATGTATGTATGCAGGGTTCGATCCAGATTTAAGTTGTATTTGAATCAAGAGTATTGCCCCCTTCTTGTTACAACAGTCCCCCCACCCTCGTCCTGAAAATGCCACACAGTCAGGAAACCTGCTGAATGAGAGGAGCTGAGGTGTGTGGGAGAATGGGGATCCCAAAAAGTCAAGTGGATGGCACTTCTGTGAATAGAGCATTTCCTTTTATGAAAGGTCACTTCTACTTGTTGAAGTTGCTGCCTGGATCCAACCCATAATATACATTTTCTCACTTTTTAGACATACAGTAGATGCTGACAGTCAAATGTAGCTTTCCCCCATTTTCCCTGTTTCAAAGGCAGATGGAGCTTGGCATGCACAGAGGAAAACATGCTTGCCTCTACTGAAATTCTCTGGGGTGGCCACTGGGCCTGTCTGAACTCCATCTATGTAATGGAGTTCTCATATATGCCAGAAGTCCTTAAGCTTCTCCAGGAAAAGTGTTCTACCTTCTACGAATCTAGAGCAAAATAAAATCATACTTACTTGGAGGTAAATTCACCTCCAGCCTCGACAACTTACCACCAAATGCATGATTTTAATACTGAGGTGTAGCTGAATTCTGAAATGTTGGTGTTCAGTCCAGCAATGCTTTCAACTTACCATATACGCTTGGTCAAGTGCTTGTTTCCTGAAGTCCAGTTCTTCCTCTAGATAACCTTTTATTTTACAGAACTGCTCCTACAATGAATGATGGTTTTGAAAAACAAAAATTATTCAAGAAGCTATAACAAAAGTATGCATGATGCTCGGGCACAGAAAGAAAAAAGAGCAACCCATTTATTATGATGCATGGGACAAAGATGAAAATGATAAAAGAAGCCCAGTACATGTTTCGTCTTACCATGTCGCTCTCTAGTTCCATCATCTTCTGGTGCAGAGCTGCTTCGGCTCCTTCAATCTGCTGTATCCACTAGAAGATGAATGGTGGCAACATATTATTTACAGCATCGTTCGTCCTTGTCAAAATGACACACGGTGGAAACCTTCTGAATTGCTTTCTTTCCATTTCAGATAATGCCTTTCTGCCTAAATTTGCCTATAGCCCTTTGCCATCTGTAAATGAGGGATGGGAAGGCTCGCACTTTGCCAGATGCCTCTGACGTGGAATTCGTGCTCTCTAATCCCAAATGTGTCTGTGGTTGCTCAATAGTGAAAAGGAAAGAAAGAAATCTGCACATGGTCAGAGGTACTTGATTAATATTGCTTATGTCCCAAGCACTGAAAACATCTTCTAGGCAAGCCCTGTCTTGAAAGGATTGTGCACTTCCTACAAATGCAGCACTGCAGATCTTTTCCCTGTGTAAACATTAGCATGATGTGTTTGAGACCATTTCTGTGGATAACCCAAGTCTGCCGTCGCTCACCTTTTCCCACCGAAACTGCTGAGCTGTTTTTTTGCCGTGCGGCCGCTCAGTGCTCGCCAGTGCCTCATTTAATGTATACACAGACCCAAAGCCAGGCAACAGCTCAGCTGTTCTGCATTTAAATAACAGACTGGGGGAGGCAGAATGCATCACTAGGATGCTTCATGCTGGGTTATTTCTCATCCTTTTTTCCACTCTTCTTCCAAGCTTGTGTGCATTCCTAGTAAGCACCGCTAATTAATCTGCTATTGTTCACACAGTAGGGGCTCTGAGGTCAAGCAAATCTTATAACTAGCCATTTATCTATATAATGAGATACTCTCAACTGTAATGGACTCTTACTGGAGCCACAGTGCTAAAGCGAGAGCAGTACCTTCGACACTTGGAATGTGATGAGCAAGGCAAATATGGAATGGATTGGCCTCCAGCAGAAGGACGAGGCCAGCTTGAGCGCAGGAGCCAGAGGACTGTTTCTTCTTATGCAGAATATGTTCTGCATTCTTTTTCATTTTGTTTTTGTTTTCATTCGCACCAGATAGTTACCCAGATTGCACGCTTTTCCACAGTTATAATTGTTTGTACTGTCCTGTTTTCAAATTGTGTATAACTATACACACACATTTCACATGCACACACATATCCACATTTTCAGAGTTGTTTGAAACACCAAATGCATGAAAAATACCTTTTCTGCCAGGGATAATACAGTACTAGCTTGAATTATAGCCACTTGCTCTTCATTTCTTAAATTCTGTAAATTTAAGAGATAGAAAAATGTGATTTGATTAATTTGAAAGTACTAGCAGGTTTCTAAATCTACACTAATGATCGTTAAGGGAGAATCCTACTTTGCTTTTCCATCTCCCATGATCCACTATGGGTGCCGGGATTCTAATCTATTCTCAGATATTCCATGTGCACAAGGGCTTCTCCATCCACTTCAGCAGAGGAAGCAGTATTATGTATGCAAAGGAATGTGTTTGCCAAAAGCTGCCTTCTCTTTTGAAATGAATGTGCACACTGCAGTGCTCAGAGGATTCCGGATCAGTGTCAAGAACTCTCCTATCAACAAAAATCTCATTTTTGTAAACAAACAGAATTATTTACAAGCATTTCAAGATAAAACTAAACACAGAAACAAGCACAGGCATGGGAAATAACGTTAAATTATCCTAGGTCAGAGATGCTATCCATTAATTATACTGTTGTCTCATATATTTAATCTATGAAATTTCATAAATGTTAACCCACTATGTTATTAGACATCAGGAGGTTCCTAAACCTTCTGTAGAATCAGACATCTCAGATAAATGACATTGTATTTAAAATAGATTCAGTGTGGGGCAATTATGGACAAAGTTCTTCTTCTTTGTTCTTTGAGTTAAATAGTTCTATAGTCTTACAAGTTTTCCTTGTATGCTGTATATATTATGATCGTGTCAGCTATGTATATCACTTACCCCATTGTCACCCAAGATGTCCAACTGCTTTATGAGATCTGGAATGCTTACATCCTATTGAAAAAAGAAAGATTGAATTAATAAGATAAGGATAAGCACCTGGATAAGCAACCTGGAGCAACTTAGACTTTTGGCAAAACCCGCTACTCCCAGTGCTCCCTCCACCCTGCAGCATATTTTTAAAATCACTGCCTTTTCCAGTTTGAGTAATTATTTTCTATATGGCATTGCATAGAACACTTTGCTGAAATCTGAAATCCACACAAGAAGAGCTTGCCTGGATCATGCAGTCATTCCAGTCAGTGACCTGCCATGACTAGGCATCCTGCATTGCCCGGTTTCTTTAGGGAAGGCCTTTTGCTCCTCTCCAGAGAGACTCACTGCTGAGAAGTCTCTAACACGATTTCAGCACTCAATTGAATAAGCCTGATTTTCTCAGAAGTGGGGTGCTTAAGACTAGATCACTTCCTTTGTTTACAAATGTCCTAATCAGGAGGAAACTGAGTCATCCGCAGTGCCCAACCCTTGTGCATCATAGAGGCCTTTTGGGACCCTGGAAAATAGGGTGGCACAGACTGCAGGTACAGGATCTGTGCCCACAGGAGCCATGAATGTGGGTTGGTAGGGGGCAATCAGACAGCAGAACCTGCACTTTCTTCCTCCCTTCCTCCTCACCCTCACATTTATATCTCATTTTATACCTCACTTTTTTCACTCTTGCAAAGAATTAAAGCTAGCTTACACAAACTTCTGCCTCTCCATTTTATCCTACACCTACATGAACAACAAAAGCCAGTTCTGAAGGAAGGAAAGCATGATCTCTACTTTTTGGTGAAACCATGTTAACATACCTTGACACCTTCTTTCATGCAGTAGATCTGTAGAGCACTCACACCATCAGAGAATGGGTGGATTTGCAGATTAAAAGGTGGAGACCTCCTTTCTCTTTCCTTAAGGAAAAATATAAGATTATAGAGTAATGCACATTGTCTTCTAAAAGAGTACAACACTGGTATCTATCTTTGCTTTCACTGCACATGCAATTTGTTCTTCATCCTCTAAGAAGAAATAAAAAGACAGGTTATAGTGTTTGCTTGTTGTTGTACTGGAAGTACAGGTTAATTTAGTGGATTCTGTTTCTTTCTCAGTGGAGGGAAACCTCTTTCATGGATTTATATATTTTTTCAAAATTATTTGCTAAGGGATGTAACATTTATTTCAGGGTATCCAGTTCTAAGGCATTCTGAATCCTTGCAAACTTGGAATGGTGTGATGTAGGCTACCCCATGCACTACTGCAGGTGTGCCCCCGAAACAAGAGCATCCTTGGCTGCACTAGTCTCCTGCATAGCTTTTCTGTTGGAGAGCTCAGATATGGACCACGTGGGCAGGTTGGGCAGAGACCCAAATTGCCACTCCAAACAAAGAGTGCGTATAATAACAAACAACCTTAGCTCAATGGATCATTACAAATAATAAGCGGTGGGTGCTATGATCTTCAGAGCTTGGCACCAGACAAGGTCGCCTGTCTCTCTCAACATTTGAATGTTTTGTTTTGGTTAGCCACAGGCAGCTGCTGAGCACACTGCAAAGCAAGACATCTGGTCTGCACCAAACCATTCCGTCTATTTTCTTCTCCCAGACACCTCTGGGTGCCATGATCACATTCTTAGCGCATGAAGAAAGGCTCTTCGGTTTGCAGTGCAACCTGCTGCACCTTAAAATGTTTCAGGAAGAGGAGAAGGAGCCTTGCTCTTGCCTGCCTGGTAAGATTGGAGGAGGGCTGCGGAATGACTTGAACTGAATGGGTAGGGTTTGGTAAGATTTTGTGTTGACCAGGGAAGGCTGAGGCGGGACAAGGAAGGCTGTGGTGCAACCTTGAGAAGGCTGGAGAGGGCAGCATGGCTGGGCTAGGGGTGGAAGATGAAGTGGGGGGTGTGTGGTTCTGTGATGGATGAGGGGGATGTGAGGTTGTGTATGGGCAGGGAGTGCCCTACACTGCGCACAGCAGAGAGCAAAGGTTTGGGGATGAAGCAGAAGTAGCATGTGCATTGAGGGGGAAGTGGTCCTGAAAGAAAGCGTGTGTGGTTTCTCTGTGTTTGCACTGTGAGCTACCTGGTTCTTGTCTGAGATTTGTGGAAAAGCCTGGGAAATACATTTGGTGGAATACATTAACTTTAAAGATGATTTGGTGAAAGTAATTGGCTTGGCTTCCTGTAAGATGGATGGACGCAGATTCCATCTCTGCTTTGTCCTCGGCTTCCTGAGCATGTGATTTGTTTTTCAGTCTCAAGGATTTGCATTGCTGTGGGACTGATATTTTGTAACTGGGTGGGTGAGCTTCCCCCTGGCAGCCATCTTTTGATGGTTCTGATGGCACTTTCTCAAAATTGTTGTTGTTGTTGTTAGTCGCGAAGTTGTGTCTGACCCATCACGACCCCATGGACAACACTCCTCCAGGCCTTCCTGTCCTCCACCATCTCCCAGAGTCCACCTAAGCTCACTCCAACTGCCTCAGTGACTCCATCTAGCCACCTCATTCTCTGCCGTCCCCTCCTTCTTTTGCCATCTATTGTTCCCAGCATTAGACTCTTCTCCAGGGAGTCCTTCCTTCTCATTAGGTGGCCAAAGTATTTAAGTTTCATCTTCAGGATCTGGCCTTGTAAAGAGCAGTCAGGGCTGATCTCCTCTAGGACTGACTGGTTTGATCGCCTTGCAGTCCAAGGGACTCGCAGGAGTCTCCTCCAGCACCACAATTCAAAGGCCTCAGTCCTTTTGCGCTCAGCCTTCCTTATGGTCCAGCTTTCACAGCCATACATTGCAACTGGGAAAACCATGGCCTTGACTATACACACTTTTGTTGGCAGGGTGATGTCTCTGCTTTTTAGTATGTTGTCTAGATTTGCCATAGCTTTCCTCCCCAGGAGCAAGCGTTTTTTAATTTCTTGGCTGCAGTCCCCATCTGTGATGATCTTGGAGCCCAGGAAAATAAAATCTGTCACTACCTCCATTTCTTCCCCATCTATTTGCCAGGAAGTGAGAGGACTGGATGCCATGATCTTAGTTTTCTTAATGTTGAGTTTCAAGCCAACTTTTGCACTCCCCTCCTTCACCCGCATCAAGAGGCTCTTTAGTTCCTCTTCACTTTCTGCCATGAGAGTGGTATCCTCTGCATATCTGAGGTTGTTGATATTTCTCCCAGCAATCTTAATTCCAACTAGTGGTTCATCTAGCTCCGCCTTTCTCATGATGTGCTCTGCATATAAGTTAAATAGACAGGGCGACAGTATACAGCCTTGCCGAACACCTTTCTCAATTTTGAACCAATCAGTGGTTCCGTGTCCAGTTCTCACTGTTGCTTCTTGACCCGCATATAGGTTTCTCAAGAGACAAATAAGATGGTCTGGTACTCCCATCTCTTTAAGAACTTGCCACAATTTGTTGTGATCCACATAATCAAAGGCTTTAGCGTAGTCAGTGAAGCAGAAGTAGATGTTTTTCTGGAACTCCCTAGCGTATGTTGGCAATTTGATCTCTAGTTCCTCTCCCTCTTTGAAATCCTCCCTGTACTTCTGCTAGTTCTCGGTCCACATACTGCTGGAGCCTAGCTTGAAGGATTTTGAGCATCATTTTGCTAGCATGTGAAATGAGCACAATAGTGCGGTAGTTTGAACATTCTTTGGCATTGCCCTTCTTTGGGATCAGAATGTAAACTGACCTTTTCCAATCCTGTGGCCACTGTTGAGTTTTCCAAATTTGCTGGCATATTGAGTGTAGCACTTTAACTGCATTGTCTTTTAAGATTTTGAATAGCTCAGCTGGAATACTGTCACCTCCATTATCTTTGTTGTTGCTCAGACTTCCTAAGACCCATTTGACTTCACATTCCAGGATGTCTGGCTCGAGGTCAGTGACTACCCCATTGTGGTTTTCAGGGTTATCGTGGTTATAGTTCTCAAAATATCCAGTGGAAATGACCATCAGCCCAAAGATACTGGAGATCCATTTTGCAAGACCATGGACTTTCCTTAAACTGTATTTCATTCATTGTAAGCTGATGGAAGTCGTAATATTTCTAAAGTGCTATTAAACCTGCACAGCATTTGTAATCATGAACATCTTAATTAAGATGCGGGTTAGCATGGGTTTGTAAGAAAGCTCTCATAAATACGCACTGAATTTTACCCTTCTTTATGAACCCTGACAGCTGGGAAATTAAGCAGGCAATCCATCCACTGTTAATGATTTTATGCCTGTGTTTCAAAAAAGGAAATTTACGTTGGTATTTGTGACAGACCTGGTATTTATTCTGGATTAGTTAATAGGAATATACTGCAGGACACTAAACTGGGGAACTCCTGAAATAGTAACACCAAACTTGTATGCCATATATTATTCATGGCTGAAGATGGTAAGCAAAACCTTCAATTGATTCAATTGTTTGAAAGGGGACAAAGATTGGCTGTTTCTTCCTTCTGGTTCTAGTATCATCAGTTGCACATTCTCATTCTCTCTCTCTCTCTCACACACACACAAACACACAATCTCTCTTCTTTATAAAATATTCACAGCAGCTAAAGGATTCCAAAAGGCAAACTATAAATATGAATACAAGTGTGAATATATGAATGTATAAACAAGAAGTTATTAAACCACAGCTATAGTTGACAGTGGGCTTCATTCTGGTTCTATGATATAGTTCTTACTTCAAGTTCTAGATTTCGGAATTCCAACAGCTCATTCTGATCTCTAGCATCCTGCAGCTCTTGTTGCAATCGATTGTTTTCTATTTCCAGCTTTTCTATCTGGAGAAAGAAGATGTACATGTCTAAATTGTGGAAGAGGAATATATCAGTTGTTCTCATCTAGAAGGTTGTTGCCACCAGCTACTGTCCCCCCTTCCTGCACCTCCCCTTCCTTAGCAGGAGAGAAAGGTGTCTAGCTCTCTAAACTGTGTTGTCAGCCTGAAAATGGAAAACATACCAAAGAAAACAAACATTATAAATCTGGTGTTATCATATGCTGCCTTTTAAAAGTGAAAGATATAAAAAGCAACTTGGTATAAAAAAGAAGATTTGTCTGTGCAGATTTGGGACGCAGGGGGGATTTGCTGTTCTTTGTGGTTAAGAAAGAAACTACCAAAGGATTCCTTTGAAGATTCTTTTGATGATTCCTGCAGTTTTTAAATGGCTCCATACTCTTCATGTTTTATGCTATTAATAGAGAAATGCTGTGGCTCTTAGGCAGGCCCTAGAGGACAGTAGGATTGCCTGAATCCCCAGTTCTGGGGTGTGAAAAGTGTTCCAGCCGGGGATCCATGCTTGGATCGCCCCACTCCCTGCAGCTGATCTGGAAAGAACAGCAATGGCTGCTTCTCGGAGGCTGCACAAGCAGCCTTGGAGGAGGGGTTTATTGGGAGTTATGGGGAGCAGAGAAGAGATGAGACGGGCACTGCCAAGATGTGATGTATCCTGAGAGCAGCTCAGCTTGCTTTCCTCTTCCTCCAACACCATTTGGCTGTTTTGCAGAGCAGGAGAAGCACAGAAGCTACCCTTGTCTCACACGCCTTCTGTTCTCTATTACATGCTCATAATCCTTCTGAGCTCAGAGGGTTGCAGGCATCCCTGTAGGACTGTATCTATTTATAAGAACAGGATTTTAAACAAAATATGAAGACCCTTTTGATGTCCTTCTGATGAAGTATAAAAATTAAAAAGGAGGGGAAACTATTTCTGTTCCAATGATGCGATGTTTTACATTTAATTTCAATATCTGTAAGTTTCATTGCTTCTTGTTTTCTTGAATTTTCAAATTAATGTTTTGGATCCAGCTTAAAGTAGACCCATTGAAATAAATGGGTCAAGCTGCTTAAGATCCAACACGTAATTTGAGTTTCTTACCATACAGGCCTCAGTAAAGTTTGCAGACCCATTCTTTTTGCCGATATACAAATGACTTTTGAGTTCTGTAATGAGAATCTGGCATAGACCAATGCAGCGAACTTCTGGTTTTAAACACCAAATTCTAGAAACTGATATACAATCTAGGCATTCATGTTAAGACATACCTTATCCAAAAGCTCCTGATTCCTCTTAATAAAAAGTTGTTTATCTTCTACCCAGTGGGAGTCCTATTGGATCAGACATATTTTAAAATTAAAAGAAGTGTTTCTATGAAACAGGCACAATTTTGTTCATAACACAGCATTTTGTGCACCCATTTTTAAAATATATGTATAATAAAAATGTCTTATGAAAATTGGTCTTGACAGGGTTGACATTTGGGAAATATAAAGCTGATTGTATAGTGAATAAATTCCAAGAACCAAGAAAAAAATGGATATTATTCTCACTGACTCAGTTTCTGTTTAGCTTGATATTATACTACCAAATTTGCTACCAATTTAATCTATAATTGTGTTGTACTGTAGTAAATGGGACGTCCATAGTACCAGGTGGGACAGGATGCCACATTACTGCACAGTTCATTCCAGTTTTCTCTGTATCTGTCACATACTTCACGGGTCACCTTTTGATTCACCTGTGCTACACATTTCTTTCTCATATAACAAACCATACACCTATCAACTTGTTTATGTAAGCAAATAAAATGGTTGATGACTAAAAGCAACTTTGTAATACATCTACCTGTCCTTTCTGGGCCAGTGTTTTTTCCAGATCTTCTATTTTAGCTCTGTATCTCTGAACTTCAGCTTGGAGTTGCTCCTGCGCCTGTTGAAAATAAGAGCCGCACCATCGTGAAAAGCCTTTTCAGTGCACATCAGACACCGGGATTTCAGGCTACTGGGGGTGCAATCCAGAGGAAGTGAACTAAGTGGTGCGTTTCATCCCTGATGTCATTGTTTTCTCTGCACCTCTTGTTGATGACATATGAGCACAGGAAGGTGCCGAATAGTAAGTCGGAGCATCAGTACATGCCTCACAATAGCCAATATCCATTGGCAGTGACTCGTCAGGGTTTCAGCAAGATTCTTTCCCAGCCCCCTCTCCAGAGATGCCAGGGATTGAGTCTGGAAGCTGCATGTGCCCAATGCATGTGCTCCACCACTAATACAGTCCCTTTCTACCCTACTGAATCAGCCTGAAGACACTGGAAGGGTCTGCACAGCCCTTTAAGGCTTAGGCTTCACAATCCACACAGAGCAGCTTCTTTTCCCCAGCAACCACGACAAAGAATCAGGCACGCTTTCCTCTGGAGCCACCTCCCCAAGAGTCTTCTTGCAGATTTTGGCCAGTAGCCACCCACCCGGACAAATAAATACCCACTCACAGAAAACTTATTCACCTTATTTGTTCAAATGGGTACCTGAGGGAAGGAATATCTATATCTTATATGTATATCTATATCTATCTATCATCTGTTCACACACACACACACGTAGTGCATGCTTTTGCACAAAAGGGTCCACTGATTTTTTTTAAAAGGGGGAGACACCTGGCAGCCCCTCCAAGGTACCACTGAGAGTTCTTGGAGGGGTACCATATGGATGGACACACTGTCCCCTCCAGTCTGTCTACTCCACTTTGCTGCTCTTTGGAGAGCTGAAACAGGCAAGGCAAGGAAACTGACCAGAAAGACTACACCTATCAGATAGTGGCAAGGGAGCACTTGTGAAAGACCAGCACAAGTGATAATACAGAAGTATGCACAGTTTTCAGGAACTGAAAGATAAAGATTTTTAAAAGCCAAGCAACAAGTGATCGTCATTCCAAAGTGCCAAAAGTGAGCAGCACGATTTTTGTGTTGCTCTTGCCGAGCACCTCTGTAACCTGTTCCTGAGAACCCAAACTGAAGTCCTCCTGCTGAGTTTGTACAGCACAATAATCCACTGTGGGCATGAAGAACCGTAAAACCAGCCATGGGTTCTTAGGCTGGCTTGTCAGCAAAAAATAAACCACCTCGCAGAAATGTGGGATTCAGAAGACACAACCGCGCAGCCATGGCTGGTACAAGCGAGATTTTGTCTCACCTTCCTGGAATCAGAACTGTCCCCTTGAACTCCACCCTCTATTGTTTGGAGCAGAGCAATGGGCTAAGTTAAGTCCCATTAATTTCAGTGGGTCTACTCCAAGTGTGGCTAAATGAGCATCCAACCCATTGTCAGATCTTGTTTGGCACCACATTAATTGATGAACCACAACAAAAGTCCAATTTTGTGACAGAGCTGAGCTTTTTCCAACATATGTCCATCTGTTCTTCAGTTTGAGAAATGTGTTTGGGTTATATCTACGTTGCTCTTGATGAATACCAACCTTGGCTTCTCGTTCTGCATCTATGATACCCCCTGTTTGCTCTTGCAGTAATGCATAAGCTCTCTGCAGGGCCTGATACTCCTTTGTTAACTGCCGAAATCGCAACTCCGATTCTTCAGCAGCTAAGCTCTGCAGGAGAAAGAAAGAAGGTCTCAAGCAAGCATCCATGGTAAGAATATTATAAAAAATATGGGATGCATAAAGATGGCTTTGGATTAATATGGGAAGCCACATACTGTTGTGTTTATGGTGTTTAGGAGTTCGAAAAATATTTACAGAATGTTGAATGTAAAAGAATCACTGCATCCAATAAACTATTGAGAAATTATTTCAAGACATTATCCTTTACTCGCTGGATATGTTCTAAGTTAAAAGAAGGCCATTTATGTTTAGGGATATGCATGTAACCCACAAGGAACATTGTAGCTGTGTGTGTGCCCTATTTCTTTGCAGCCAAAATGCTTTATTTTAAGAATTAAGCATTACTAGAACTTTTGGTGCAGCTGCACATAATGCTAAATGCATTCTTGAACTTTTGATTGGGATTCTCTCTAAAACAAAAATGAGCAGCAGCTGTTCTATATTGGAACTGCAGTGTGGAGGGAGGGTGTTCAACTGTTTTCCATGCCATTTTCTAGTTGGAGAAAAATGATCCCCCAAGCAGTTGTTACAGTTCCCAAATTTGCCATTTGCTACAAACCACTTTGAATGCAGCTGAAAAGAGCTAAGCTCCCTCCCACAGCAATCCCAGTCTAGATCACTGCCACCTTCATCTGCTGTTCACTCATGAAAGCAGGAGAATAGGAATTCGGAGATGCATTTAATGTCACATGTAGTTCAACCCATGTCACTTCAGCTGAACAGATTATTAATCTGGTAAGAAAGTGCTCATCATCGGGAGGTTTGGGCTGCGGAGTGATCAGTATGCTGATGACACCCAGTTCTACCTCTCATTTACATCTGCTCCAGGTGAGGCGGTGGCTGTACTGAACCGGTGACTGGCCAAGGTAATGGGCTGGATGAGGGCCAATAAACTGAGCCTCAATCCAGATAAGATGGAAGTCCTGTTGGTGGGCGGTGCAGGTCTCCAGGTAGGTGATTTTGACCCAGTTCTAGATGGGGTAGCACTCCCTCTAAAGGACAAGATCCGCAGCTTGGGGGTACTCCTTGACCCAGAGCTGTCACTGGAGTTCCAGGTAGCGGTGGTGGCAAGGAGTGATTTCCTACAACTTTGACTGATCCACCAGCTGCGTCCTTACCTGGATGAGCACTGCCTAGCAACAGTGATACATGCTCTGGTAACTTCCCGCTTGGATTACTGCAATGCGCTCTACGAGGGGCTGCCCTTGAAAACGGTCCAGATACTCCAGCTGGTACAGAACAGAGCTGCCAGGCTGCTGACGGGGACCAGCCGTTACTCTCACATAACACCAGTCCTCTATCAGCTCCACTGGCTCCCAGTTGAAGTCTGGGCCCAATTCAAGGTGCTGGTTTTAACCTATAAAGTCCTGAATGGCTTGGGGCCAGGATACCTGAAGGAGCACCTCTTCCCTTACATGCCCATATGCCCCTTAAGATCTGCGGGAGAGACTTTGCTCTGGGAGCCCTCTTTAAAGGAGGTAAAAAGAACAACTACCTGGAGCAGGGCCTTCTCTCAGGTTATGGAATGTGCTCCCTGGAGAGGTGTGCCTGGCGCCCAGTCTATATTCTTTTCGGCACCAGGTTAAAACCTTTTTATTTAATGGCTATTTTAAAAATCAATTTTATCATTAACAGTTGTTTTTTTGTTTTGGTTTTTGTTTTGGTTTTTATATAATTTTACTGTTTCTGTTTTATTGTTTTAATTCTATGTTGTGAGCTGTCCTGAGATACCAAGGCATGAGGGGATGGCATATAAAAGTTCTAAATAAGTAAATAAATAAATCATGTCTTCAAGCGCTTCTTTCCTGAAAACAAAATGTCACACCAAGGCAAAGTGGGTGGCTTGTATGGAGAAATTAACTGAAGTTTGCAGCAATTTTTCAGCTGTGATGGTCTTCAACAGAATCTGTTGATAGCACTGTATTCTGATAAAAAGACACAAGAAGTGCTCAATTGCACATTGCTTTTTCCCTTTCCATGAAGACTTATTAAATCAGTGGGTTTTGCATGCCCTAACATTATGAATTCTTTTAAAACTCTGGAGCTGTGGCTGAATGGAATCTAAAATACCACCACCTGCAAACAAGTCCCTCCTGGTAGCAAAAGATCTTACTTCATCCAAGTCTTCATCTGGGGTTGCTGGTGTTCTGTCTGTCCTGAATGAAGCCATCGATGAGGTTTCAGAGTCCATGGAATCATCATCCCCCCCATAAACTGTGTCCAGTACATGCCTCTAAAGAAAGGAGAAAACTCACATGAAGAAGTGCTTCCATCTCATACCCTCGCCATAGGCCATAGTCAGTGGTGCATACAAGGCCATTATGATACAGCTTGGGGCACATGGTATATATGCAGTCCGGTTCACTGGCTGTGCATTGCCCATGTTCTCAGGTGCAGCTGAGTCATAGAACCTAGACAGCAAACCAGGGTTGGATCATCTTTAGTTTTAGGGGTACAATGCAAACTGGCAATTCCTTCTGCCAGTTCTCACTCTCTTTGTGCAGTGCTAGTCAGGATACAGATGCAACATCATGGGCGGTGCAAGGAGACTAAATTCTGCTGTCAGTGCACAAGAGAGCACAGTGGCATTCTAACACTTCAGTGGGAGGAGAACAGCAGAGGAAAGGCATGAACGCAGTAGCCTTATGTGGCCATTTCTGTTACATACGCTTAGACTTGGTCACCAGCTTTTCTGGAAGCAACTGTAGGAACAGTGCTATGGTAACTGCTACCTTATGGAGCCTACCATGTAAATTCATTTTGAACAGCGTAGTGTCTCCAAACTCCTTAAGCGAATTAGAAACATCTACGAGCAAATATGAGTCATGCTTTAAAACGACAGAGCTGCTTAATCAGTAGGTTTGGATATCAAAGTACTGATTTCAGCGCACGCCACTTGCCAAAGTGAGTCAGTCGTGTAGACAGATTGATCAATGAGAACGCAACACTTGAATGCTGTGTTCTTATGCCCACATAAAAGATGTTCCAGAAGTTTGGAATGCATGGGCTGTTGATGGGAACCTTTGGGCTGACAGATGGGGTAGAAGTATAGCAAGTAAAATGCATGGTCAACTATTATGAGTTTTGCCATTCCAGTCCTGGCCGATGGGAACTCCAGAACCAGATCAAGCTTGGGAAGCAGAGCCTCTGCTATTTGGCTTTGCTGTTCTTCGCTCCACATACCCGCAGCCAATGGCTGCGTGCTGGGTTACTGCCATCTGTGCTAACCTACAATCATTACACCATTTCAGCAACACCTAGAAACTTTTCCACTGAAATTATTGGACTGCAGGCATTTTAGCATTGAAAATGCTTGCATACTTCACTTACCTTAATTAGCTTTGAACTTCTTTTATGCTTCCTCCGCCGAATAAGCTTCTCCCTGTCCTGTAAAAGAAGATCAAGAAACAGTTAGAACCTAATAAAGCATCATTTTCAAAGATCAACATGGACCATAAGCATCTAAATTCTTCTCAATTTTCAGCAGAAATAAGACCAAGTACCTACTCTCTATTGTTTACTTTGGCTGGATGGAAATATTTATTTCAAATATTTCTACCCTACTATGCTGTCTTTGGTGTTCAAGGTGGCCGTGACTGATTTTAAAAAAAAGTGTCTATTTATTAGTGATTTTGATGGTTATTTCAGTATTTTCCTGGCACTTCATGAAAGACAGCCTGCATCTGTTCCTTAGGATGAGTGGGAAAAGAAAGTATGGGCAAGCAGAAGTTAACATCATTTACATTTTGTTGAGTTACTGTTGGGTATCGGGAGAACTAGGAACTTGTTCCAAAGTCTTCCAAAATATAAACATTTTTGAGGAGGGGGCTGACGGAAGCCAAGGAGGTGAGTTGTGGGAGCCAGGCTTTCCAGCCTCATAAGCTCACCTACATGTGTCCTTCCAAGCCCAGCTCCACTGCATTCCACCACTGGGAAGACAACATTCCAAGAGTTTCCAGATGTCAAGAAAAGAAGAAATGTTTAGGATCAGGGACTGGGTGCATTCCCTTAATTAGAGATAATCTTGCTGTTCTAACAATGAAGGTTTTCATGATCTCCCCCGTTGCTTTTAGCTCCTAAACCTATGACCTACCCGGGTCAGCTCATCAATAATGTTCTGTTGTTCTATAACCTGGAGCTTCAAGAATTCCGTTTCTTGCTCTTCATTAGCTTGGTCCAGGTCATTGAGAGATTTCAATTTTTTCAGAGGAGGATGAGACGTCATTTTTTCTTTCTGTTGCATAAGAACAACATCATCCTCATCAGCATTAGCATCAACATCAGTCCCATCATCAAACCATCACAACGATGCCGCTTTCAAAAAGAAATAGCTTTAGTTTGCTTTATAGGACCCTGATAGTCATGTGTTGGCCAGATAGTCATAGTTTATTGGACCCAGATAGTCATGTGTATTTGTAATTGTTTGTTTGTTTGTTTATTTCCCTTCAGCCTTAAGGGTCAATCAATGTGTCTTAAAAGGTAGGCAAAATCACTTAGCTTTCTGGAGCTGAAAATCCAGAATTGTCATATAGATGCTGCATACTCTGATACAGCCTGCAATCCCATACACATTTCTTAGGAGGCAAACACCACTGAACTCGGTATTCCTTTATTTATTTAATATTTTGCCTTCCCCTCCCCTTGCCAGGAAGTCAAGATGACTTACAGAATCCTCTTCTTCTCAACTTTATCCTCACAACAACCCTGCAAAGTAGGTGAGGCTGAGGGTCAGTGACTCATGAGGAAGCCCACAATGAGCTTCATGGCTGAGTGGGGAATGGAGCTCAGATCTCCCAGGTTTCAGTCCAGTGCTTTAACCTCTCTGACAACGACATCTCAGCAGCTCTCTTGTTACTGTTCAGCAATTCTTGTATGCAGACTTACCTCTGAGTAAAAAATGCCTAGGATTTAACCGTTTCTCTGTCATACAGAAAATGTATTAATGTTAAAGCAGATTACTTTTGTAACTTTAATCCCTGGAGAATTAGATTTCCAGTTCAGCATGAAGTAATGAAAATTAATCCTAACCCATCCGTTGGAGACTAAGCTTAACTGAATACATCTTTCAGTACATGCTTAAATTGTTACGGTTCCTTTCAAAAGAAAAGAATGTGATGGAGAGCAAGAGAAAAATGACAAGGGGAAAATCTGCATGAATCATCTCCTGTTCTTGACAATAGTGGCCCCTGTCAGTTGCTTGATGCACAGTGGGCTGTTTGCACAACACAACAGTGTGTGGCGGGTCTTTACCCTGTAATGTGTGTGGTATATATGTCCCTACATTTGGAATATGCAGCCATGCTGGGGGTCATCATGCCATGTGAACCCAAGAGTATGGGCTATGCAGGGGTCAAGCAACCCTTGCCTAGCCCATAATCTGCTACAAGGCTATGAGGGTTGGCATGACATAGTCACCCCAAAGCCGGGGCTGCATCTTCAACCTGGCACCTATGGGTGCCTCAGCTCACCCAACCTCAGTCACTGTCTGCATTCACACATCACACTAAATCATAGTGTAGCCCAAGCATGCAGGAGCCGCAGCAAGCCTCGGGGTCATCTCCTCCTTTTCCTCCTCTTTTTGCTTGAGAGGCAAAGGCTTGAGGTGGCATTTTCTTGCTGTTCCCTGAATCTCAGTTTGTTGTGTCACCCAGAATAGGGATTATATTTTACCCCTAATGTTTAGTTTAAACAAGCCAGCTTCATCACCCATAGAAGGAACTGGTCAGTTTCTGTTTCAAATCCGATCAGAATTTGGGATGAACCAAAATCCTGGGTCCAGATCACACAAACTGAGATTCATAGAAACTGAACTGAGTCACCACAGCTGATTTCCACACTCAGCCTCTCCTCAAACCGTGCTTTATGTCATCGCTGTTGTTAATCAGATTTATACCCCGCCACCTTTCTCCCTCTTTTAAGGAGCCCGTGGTGGCTTATGTGGTCCTCCTCTTCTCTGTTTTATCCTCACAATAGTCCTGTGAAGTACGCATAGGTTAGCCTGAGTGTCAGCAGCCAAGTCACCCCATGAACTTCATGGCGGAGTAGGAAACAGAACCCAACGCCTCGCCCAACCCGCCAGCCACTGCACAGGACTGCACCTCAGTGGTTCAGCACGATGTGTGAATGCAGTCGATGAAAAACTGGGAGGGGGAACAGGAGAAGCATATTCCATTAAGCACGGAGGCAGTTCTTCTAAGGGCATGTTTACCGTTCCCTACCCGCGGCGCGGTGTGGGACTAGTTCTAGGGACAGAGCCTCGCTACCACTCCTCAGAGGAAATCACGGTGCATGTTCGACGTTCATGTGCAGAAATAGAAGAACGATGTAGGAGCAGACCGGGAGAATCAGGTGTACATTTGCAACTTCGCATGCAACTTGGAAATTACAAAGTCTACCGGCATTTGAATTAGCTCTAGGAATTAGTGGGATGTAGGCAAGATTATTATGAATGGGACTCAAAAAGCCTCCAAGAAGAATGGTCTGAAAGCAACTGATAACTGCAAATTTACTGGCACTAAGTGGATCTGTGTTTGGCCAGTGCCTCGAGGGACTGCATGGAAGCTTTATATATGCAAAGAAAAAAGGCAAGTTAGAAATAGATTAAATAAATATATCACTGCAGGAAGTTAGATTTGCAGGTCTGGTTTTCCAGACTTACATTGCAATATTCTGCATGTCTACCCAGAAGTATGTCCTACTGGGTCCAATAAGATTTATTCCTAACTGAGGGTTTAGGAGATTGCAGGCTCAGACATTATGGCCAGGAAAGTGTGAATATATTAGAATGCCCATATATTACAGTTGTTTGGTGTACAAATGGCACATGGTGATATTTTCCAGCTATAATCAGTTCTTGGACAGTTGAAGGCCAGCATCTGATTTTAAATGCTTGATATTTCCCGTTTCAGTTCCTTGAATCTTTGCATCCAGTGTTGAAAGAGGAAAATCTTTAATCCAACAAAACAGGATCTGCCTATTATGATGGGCAGAGTGATCGTATAGCTCCTGGACAGCATCTAGAAGGCCAGAAGAGTGTTTGGATTCCCAGCTCTGGGATCATGAAAAAAGCTTCTACATTAGAGTCTGTACTTGGATCCCCTAAGCCTATAGCTGGGAACCACAGCTGGGAAGAACCATACTGGCTGCACCTCCAAGATTGGAAGGGTGACCTCAGAGAAGGCGTTTGGGAGGCATTCTAGGAGCAGGGAGGGGAACAGAAAAGCGCCAGCGAGATATGGCATCTCCTGGAGGTGCCTCAGCCTCCTCACCTTCCCCAAAGCTGAAACTGATCACTTGGCTGCTTTGCACAGAGCCGAAGATCCTATGTCCTCCTGCCAGGCATACATTGTCTGTAATCCCCTAAACTGGGAGGCTCACAACATCCCTACCGGATTGGACCCTAAATGTATGCCCCAAATTCAGTGAAATAAGTATAATGGAGAAAAACTTGCTGCTACAAGTTATATTTACTTACATAAATAAGTAAGTAATATTTATACTTAAGTAGAACTCTTCCAAACATTCAGTACACACCATTTCTAAATTTTCCTTAGCGATTGCTTTGAGTTTCTCCTCCATGCGCTGCAATGACTGCATAAGTTCATCATTTCTCTTGGAGAGGCACTTATTTCTTTCCAGGAGAGGCTTGCATTGTTTCTCTGCTTCCCGGACACGTTTCAACTGTAACAATAATAATCCACAATTAATACTTTATAAACTTTTATGTGTGTGTGTTCATTTCTTCACTTTTTCTGTGCTGTCATTTAATGTTCAAAGAACTTGCTAGCATTATATTGGAAACTGATAATCATATTGTGGGCAGAATCGTTCTGCACCCCGGTATAAATACTCGCGTCACCTGAATATGAGGTATAACAAGAGAAGTCCATCTTATAGTTCATTCTTGCTTCTGGGGAGAAGGAATGTCATGACTCAGTACTCAGAGTTCTTCCAAGGGGAAAATAATCCCTGCGCACGTCCGTTTTGCCAGCATCCTGGGTGACAGACTTTTCCCACCTGTTTCAGGGAGTATGTGTGTAGCTGTGTTCCTTTTTCTTCCCTCTTTCCTATCCAAGAGGTTTGGCACTGGGGTTAAAAGTGTTGCTCTTCTTCCCTTCTAGCAATGACCAGGGTGGGGACATGTAAATCATGCACCAGAGTAATTTCTTAATTAGCAGAGGAGTGTGGGGAAGAGTATACAGCAAGGGAAGGGGTCAAAATAAGGAAAGGAAATGGGATAAAGCAGAATGGCTGTGCCTCCACTAGCCACTACTTTCCAAACATAAACAGTAGCTAATGTTTAACAATGAAGCCAGTATAGTAGACCAGTGACTAAGGGTGAGGAAATGCATGTTCAGTTCATTAAAATAAGCTTAAAATACAGTGCAAAGTGGACCTTTCCCAGGTTTAGTTCAGACAGTTCTCATCATCCGAATGTGGCAGAAAAGCTTCCACTACCCATATTTGACTTGAAAGGGCCAGTAATACTAAGATGTGAATGAGCTCATATCTTTGTCATATTTTTATTCAATTACTTTTTGTAAGCTGTCCTGGAGGCTTACTGAAGAGTAGCATTAAAATGTTTCAGAGGAATGCCAATGAAATAGCCGCATCCCCCCTGAGTCCCCCCATTCGGACATGTTTCATGCACGCACCAGTTCATTCCGCTCGTCTACGAGGAGTGTGTTCCTGTCTTCCAGCTTCCGTATAGTGGCATTCAGCTCTGCCATTCTCTTCTGGTTTCTGCGCAAGTCCTATAAAGAAGTTTTGCAAATCATTTGATACAAGAGCTGCTTCCAGGCAGAAAACCCTCGGGATCCTGCTGCCCAGAGTTCTGGCTAAAGTGTCTTTTTATATGTTATAACCATGTCAGGAGAGCCCCTCTTCTATGGATTCATACCCACAGATCTAGAAACATGTGGGAGTGCCAACAGCATGACTCGCTGGCTCAAACGTATTGCTCGTTATCCTGGCCACCAGCAGGATATCCTGGCCTGGCCCACTTGGCCACGGTTCTTAAATATGATAGCCAAGGCAGTTTTAGGGCTGGAGGGCTGAATATATCAACTGGAGCCCCAAAGGTTTGGGAGGCCACCTGCCCCACCACTGTGCTACCCACGAGCACTTGTTGAAATAAAGCTACAGGGCCCTGAAGGTCCCTGCAACATCTGATTCCTCCCGATTTGATGGCTCTTCGCCCACACGTGCATCCAAATCTTTCTGCATCTTTCCTGAAAGCAAATGCCTCCCCTTCTCCTGCCAATCATCCCTTTTTATAAATAGAGGTGCCCTAGGAGGCAGGGTCCTTTAAGGTGCACGCGCATGCACACAAGCCTGCAGAGCACATGTAAATTGGTATGTGCCCGTGTCTTCTGCCCGTGGGCTTGAGCCCTGGATCTTTTCAGTAGTCATCACTGCTCTTTCCATGCTGTGGAAAGCACCCATGGAAGAGTGGCTTCCATGGCACAATCCTGAAAGACCAGGATAATTACCAGTTGGCTTGCTTACAGGGAAGTTCCAGGGGACAACTCATGGATCCCAAGGAATCCCCCACCCACATAGTTGTGCCCTTCCCCTTTAATAGTACGGAGTGCTTGTATTATCTCACATAAATGAAACAAGATCTTAAAACCACAACAGAATTGTTGGGTTCTGATTCAACCATGGACTTGCTCAGTGGCCTGAAGAGAAACGACTTGCCCCCGGGCTACACTCTCATAGCCCTGATCTGTAACATGGAAATAATAACATGGTCCTTACAGAACTGCTGTAGAGATTTTTGAGAGAATCTGTACGGAATGCTCTGAACTCTCTAAGGCAGCATTTCCCGGCCCGGTGCCCTCTGAAAGGGCTGGACTACAACTTCCATAATCCCCATTGGTCTGAGGAGTATAGGAGTTCAAGTCCAACTCTTCCAGATGGAATTAGGTAGGCGATGCCTGCTGAAAGAGCTACATAAATGCTAAGCATCATTGATCTATCATCATCATCATCATCTTGTTCTTAATCAGGTTAAGTGTCGCACTTGTAAGCACTGAAATGTAGCCTCATGACTACCACAAGAGGGCACATTTCATACACCACAAAGAGGAGTTTTCCTCACAGGGAGCAGGGAAATGATGCAATAAGTGGGTTAAGCAGATTCAGTGGGCGCTGCAATGTTTCTGTTTGTGATGAAATACAGAGTACATCTTACAGGACTGCTGCAGTGCTCGGAGCCATCTCCTGCTCTGCCCGGGATCTCTCTTTTGGGACTGCTCATGTTACATTCTGCCTCCTTCACTAAGAAGAGCTGTTCGTCTAAAGCCTCCTTCTGCAGCTGAAGCTTCTGGACATATCCAGTCAGGGTCTCCAGTTCTTTCTCCAAGGAAAAGATGGTTCTGTCTTTCGCTTTGATCTCGTCCATCTGAATGGAGACATGCAGGGACACTGTTACTGCACAAGCACAACCATTGATCGATGCAGCTGATGCACTTGACAAGAGAACGGCCCCCATCGGCTTCACAAAATACAGATGCACAACATCCTCCTTTGCATTCTGAGAATAAGTTGCATACATTCAAACATAGCCTTGTATCAACCTAATCAACTGTTTTCCTCCTCGCTGTTCTTCTCTGGTTGCGAAACTCCACTTGCATTCAGAAAAAGTTAGAGCTCACATATTTCTGAATACACCCGAAAAGCTAAAGCTAACAGAAAAAAATGTGGTGACTCTCCCATCTCTACAAGCCACACCTGAAGAGAGGTGGGTGAAAAAGGATGCCACTCTCAGATGGACACATATATATGAATTTTTGCACTGCCTTTACCACAACTTACACGTTGTTGATAGATTTACTTTTGCATAATGTGCAGCACAGTCCTGTGGCTGCTAGACAGATTCTAGAATGATGGGCATGGGATTTCTCAGAGACCCGGCTACCATACCAGGAATTTGCTGCACCCTCGTAGCTGGGCCTCCTTGCTCTGAGTGCCCCTCCCCTCTCACGGCTGGTTTACAGGAAGGAGGAGACAGGCAGTGCTGAGATGCGTCCTGGTGGTGCCTCAGACTCCTTTTCTGAAGCACCTTGGCTGGAGAGCTGCAATTGGCTGCAGATGCCTTTCAGAGCAGGAGGAATGCAGAGGCCACCTTCCATCCCATGCTTCTCCCCCCTCCATAGGATGCCCGTAATCCTCCAAGTTCTGCGGGTTGCAGGCATTCCTGCTGAATCACACTCATCTGGTTTGCTTCCTCTCTTCTCCTTTTATTTATTTTTTTCCCATTGTTTTTGAAATTCATCATAAAAATAAATTTTAAGAGATGATGGAAGCAAAAGAGCCAAGGACAACTTTTATTTAGTGAGTATAAGGAGTTGCTCCTGCCTTCTCATTAAACCAAAGGATTATTTACATACATTTCAGTCTGTAGCAGCTTTGTGGTAGAGCCAACCCCAAGCAAAATACTTACGGCCTCTTACTGACACTGTCCTGCATGGCTTGTCCTGACTCGGCCCCCATTCTGACATTTTCCCCACGTGGTGTGACTTGCAGTATTTAATTACATTGAACACTCTGCCAAAGCCACCTCATCCTGGCCTGACCTGCCATGCAACCACCGGGTGAAAAAAATCGCTGAGCTGGAGCTAACCATGAGCTGATGCAGACACTTCAAAGCCGACACCCACCAGGCGGGAGTCCTTTCCATGCAGCTATAGGGAAGAAATACTGTCTGATCGCATTGGCAGGTGACGCTCACCAGGAGCAAATCACAGGAACAGTGGTGGTAGAAGCAGACCACTGCCTTGACATGAATCACTACCAGGAAGCGGCAGTATCACGCCGCATGTTTGTCCCGGATCAGGCAATTTTTAACAGAACACAGAACCGTGTCGACCTTTAATGAGGACCAAGAAGTAGTCTTTGGTTCAGTCAGACTGGCTCTTATGGACTAGGGCCAGGTTCAGTAGCCAGAGAGCTTTGCCTATTGGGTGGTACAGAAATGAGACAAAACAAACTGAATGGATGGATGGATGGATGGATGGGTGGGTGGGTGGGTGGTGGGTGGGTGGATGGATTTGACTACCATCCCAGCTACGTGGGAATTTTCAGTCAACAAATAGGTCTTACAGGGAAGGGAAAATACCTAGGGGACCAGCATAGCCACTGTCTTATGGCTGTGAATACTGTATGCTTGACAACCAGACCCCACCTGGTGCTTGTACCACTATGCAGTGACAGCACAAGTTTCACCCCCCGATATTCTTCTTGCCATGCAGCTGTGTAAGGCTGGGGCTGTTGTCCATAAAAGGACGGCAAGGCTAGTGGCGGTGCTGGCGTTGAACCTGACCTGCGAGATACAGCGCTTTTTGTGTGCAGTCAGCAGATGCTTAGCAGCTTTTTCATTTTGCCAAGTAAAAGAAAAAAATGGCTTATGTAAGAAGCAAATTCAATACATTATCTCCAAAGCTGACGTATGGCTAACACATATGTCAGATGTTTTGGGCATCAACCCCAATCAGCCCCAGCCATCAGGGCCAGCAATCAGGAATCCCGGGGGTGCTAGTCCAAGCATCTGAATAATACCAGGTTGGAGAAGGCTGGGCTAGCGTCTATCAACACAAGTCAATTTGTTCCAGCTAAGGGAGAAAAGATGCATTACAAAGACACAATGCTCTCCCACAAATATAGCAGCTCTACAATGCATTATCCCATCCCTCTCTGTAATGAGATCCATATGCTATGCTATGCTATGCTATGCTATGCTATGCTATGCTATGCTATGCTATGCTATGATAGTCGCAAAGTCGTGTCCGACCCATCATGACCCCATGGACAAAATTCCTCCAGGTCTTCCTGCCCTCCACCATCCCCCAGAGTCAACTTAGGCTCACGCTGACTGCCTCAGTGACTCCATCCAGCCACCTCATCCTCTGCCGTCCCCTCCTTCTTTTGCCATCTATTGTTCCCAGCATTGTTCCCAGTCCTTCCCAGAAGGACTCTTCTCCAGGGAGTCCTTCCTTCTCATCAGGTGGCCAAAGTATTTGAGTTTCATCTTCAGGATCTGGCCTTCTGAAGAGCAGTCAGGGTTGATCTCCTCTAGGACTGACCGGTTTGATCGCCTTGCAGTCCAAGGGACTTGCAGGAGTCTCCTCCAGCACCACAATTCAAAGGCCTCAGTCCTTCAGTGCTCAGCCTTCCTTATGGTCCAGCTTTCATAGCCATACATTGCAACTGTGAAAACCATAGCCTTGACTATACATACTTTTGTTGGCGAGGTGATGTCTCTGTTTTTTAGTATGTTGTCTAGATTTTCCATAGCTTTCCTCCCAAGGAACAAGCGCCTTTTAATTTCTTGGCTGCAGTCCCTGTCTGCGGTGATCTTGGAGCCCAGGAAAATAAAATCTGTCACTACCTCCATTTCTTCCCCATCTATTTGCCAGGAAGTGATAGGACCAGATGCCATGATCTTAGTTTTCTTGGTGTTGAGTTTCAAGCCAACTTTTGCACTCTCCTCCTTCACCTGCATCAAGAGACTCTTTAGTTCCTCTTCACTTTCTGCCATTAGAGTGGTATCATCTGCATATCTGAGGTTATTGATGTTTCTCCCAGCAATCTTAATTCCAATTTTTGATTCATATAGCCCCACCTTTCTCATGATGTGCTCTGTATGTAAGGCAGGGCAACAGTATACAGCCTGACTGAACTCCTTTCCCAATTTTGAACCAATCAGTGGTTTCGTGTCCAGTTCCCACTGTTGCTTCTTGACCCACATATAGGTTTCTCAAGAGACCAATCAGATGGTCTGGTACTCCCATCTCTTTAAGAACTTGCCACAATTTGTTGTGATCCACACAATCAAAGGCTTTAGCATAGTCAATGAAGCAGAAGTAGATGTTTTTCTGGAACTCCCTAGCTTTCTCCATGATCCAGCGTATGTTGGCAATTTGATCTCTAGTTCCTCTGCCTCTTCGAAATCCTACCTGTACTTCTGGTAGTTCTTGGTCCACATACTGCTGGAGCCTATCTTGTAGGATTTTGAGCATATATTTGCTAGCATGTGAAATGAGTACAATTGTTTGGTGGTTTGAACATTCTTTGGCATTGCCCTTCTTTGGAATTGGAATGTAAACTGACCTTTTCCAATCCTGTGGCCACTGTTGAGTTTTCCAAATTTGCTGGCATATTGAGTGTAGCACTTTAACTGCATTGTCTTTTAGGATTTAGAATAGCTCAGCTGGAATGCTGTCACCTCCACTAGCTTTGTTGTTGCTCAGACTTCCTAAGGCCCATTTGACTTCACATTCCAGGATGTCTGGCTTGAGGTCAGCGACCACCCATCATGGTTATCAGGGACATTAAGATCTTTCTTGTATAGTTCTTCTGTGTAATCTTGCCACAGTGGTTTTAGTTTTTACCTCTTGTACAATGTTGCGAACCTCCATCCATAGTTCTTCAGGCACTCTGTCTATCAGATCTAATTCCTTAAATCTATTTGTCACCTCTACTGTATATTCATCAGGGATATGATTTAGGTCATACCTGAGTGGCCTAGTGCTTTTTCCTACTTTCTTCAATTTAAGCCTAAATTTTCCAACAAGAAGCTCATGATCCTGGTTTTGTTTTTACTGACTGTATAGAGCTTCTCCATCTTTGGCTGCAGAGCACATAGTCAATCTGATTTCTGTGTTGACCTTCTGGTGATGTCCACATGTAGAGTCATCTCTTTAGTTGTTGGAAAAGAGTGTTTGCTATGACCAGCGTATTCTTTTGACAACATTCTGCCAGCTTTTGCCATCCTTCATTTTGTACTCCAAGGCCAAACTTGCCTGTTATTCTGGTTAACTTTTGGCTTCCTACTTTAGCATTCCAATTCCCCATGATGATAAGGACATCATTTTTTGGTGTTATTTTTAGAAGGTGTTGTAGGCCTTATTAGAACTGGTCAACTTCAGCCTCTTCAGCATCAGTGGTTGGGGCATAGACTTGGACTATTGTGATGCTGAATGGTTTACCTTGGATTTAAACTGAGATCATTCTGTCATTTTGGAGATTGTATCCCAGTACTGCTTTTCCCACTCTTTTATTGACTATGAAGGCTACTCCATTTCTTCTGAGGGAATCTTGCCCGCAGTAGTATATCTGATGGTCATCTGAATTAAATTCACCCATTCCTGTCCATTTTAGTTCACTGATTCCTAAGATGTCGATGTTCAGTCTTGTCATCTCTTGTTTGACCACATCCAGCTTGCCTTGATTCATGGATCTTACATTCCAGGTTCCTATGGAGTATAGATCTTTACAGCATCGGACTCTTCTTTCACCACCAGATACATCTGCAACTGAGCGTCCTTTTGGCTTTGACCCAGTTGCTTCCTTCTTTCTGGCGCTACTAGTACTAGCCCGCTGCTCTTCCCCAGTTGGATACTGGAAACCTTCCGACCTGAGGGGCTCATCTTCCGGCGTCATATCTTTTTGCCTTTTGGTACTGTCCGTGGGGTTTTCATGGCAAGGATACTGGAGTGGGTTGCCATTTCCTTCTCCAGTGGACCACGTTTTCTCAGAGCTGTCCATCTTGGGTGGCCCTGCACAGCATAGCTCATAGCTTCGTTGCACTGCACAAGCCCCTTCGCCACGACAAGGCAGTGACCCATGAAGGAGTGGATCCCCATCAGGGAATCGAACCCCGGTCTCCCGCATGACAGACAGGGATACTTACCACTACACCACAATGAGATCCATAGCACTGCTTATTCTCCCTCCTCATATCATTACATTGTGGGTTT